GCCCAACCTTCCTTCCAAGGAGTGGCTGGTGGGTTTGAACCGCCAGCCTTCTGGTTAGCAGTCAAGTGCTTTAGCCACTATGCTACCAGAGCTCCTTCCTCTCCTATAGTCCTACCAAAAATCCAATCTCACATTTCAGCCCCTCACTGAAAGGGCTCACTATGCCTCTTCTGAGTCTCGCAATCCAGGGCTTCAGCCCGTAATTTTTCCCTTTGTAGGTACTATACTGAATCTGACAAACTGTAAAATTTTGAGTCTGTTCCCATTTCATGTTGTCAGCCACACAGAACCAGTTTAAATGACAAGTAGGAGTTGTCTATAAGTTGGATGTTTACTTACTCAGGGACTCTTATATTCCTGGGAATCTAAAAACAAGGCTGTTCTCATGACTAGTAAAATCTTGAGAAGGCCCTAAACTCTGACCTCTGCCTTACCTTGAGGCCAGGAAGAAAAGACTAAGGCAGAATTATAAACTAGCTGCTTGAGCACTGAAGGCATGACCTAACACACACAGATTTATTGTTTCTAGACATTTAAGGAAATTTCTGTTCAATCATTAGCTAACTGCTAAACTAACTGAGCAGAGACTTCATTGGCCACACATGACAAAGAATACAGAGTTAACAAATTTGATTGAGGAAGTAACTAAACAAATAACAAAGTCAACAGCAACAACAAACCATAGAGAGGGACGGGAGTTGTCATACTATATTATTTAAAACATATAATTTTCAAGAAACATTACGAGACATGTAAAGATATAAGAAACTTTAGTTCACAGAAGAAAAGAAACAGTCAGTAGAAACTGTCCATGAAAAAGTCCAAACACTGGATTTAATAGACCAAAAACACCAAATCCAGTGCCATCAAGTCAATTCTGACTCATAGCAACCCTACAGGACAAAGTAGAATTGCCCCCATAGGGTTTCCAAGGCTGTAAATCGTTATGGAAGCAGACTGTTACAGCTTTCTCCCATGGATCAGCTGGTGTGTTCAAACTGCTGACCTTTCAGTTTGCAGCTGAGTGCTCTAACCACTGTGCCACCAGGGTGCCCATTTAATAGACAAACACTTTAAATCAAATATTTTAAATACGTTTAAAGAACTAGAGGAAACCAAGTTAAAGAACTAAAGGAAAAGATGAGAATTTTATCTCACTCAACAGATTATCAATAAACCAAACTAAACTCACCACTACCAAGTCAATTCTGACTCATAACAACAACTCCCATTGGGTTTCGAAGGCTGTAAATCTTTACAGAAGCAGATCGCCTCATCTTTTTTCTGCAGAGCAGCTGGTGGGTTTGAATCACCAACTTTTTGGTTAGCAGCCAAATGCCTTAACCACTATACGACCAGCGCTCCTTAGAGATTATCAACAGAGAAATATAAATTACAAAAAGGGAGTCAGATTTGGGTACTGGCCCCACCTCCTTGTATTGCCATTTTGTAATAAATAATTTTCTCTCCTCTTAAAAAAGAATAATAGTAATAATAAAATAAATTACAAAAAGAACCAAACATAAATTCTGGGGTTGAACTACAAAACAATTAAGGTGAAAAATTCACTAGAAGGGCTGAATAGTAGGTATGAGCTGGCAGAGCAGGAAAAAGCAGACAGCAAAATTTATATAGGTCAATTCAGATGATCAAGTCTAAGGAACAGAAAGAAACAGAATGGGGACACCAGCAAGCATACCAACATAAGCATAATGGGAGTCTCAGAAGGAGTAGAGAGCAAGATGCACAGAAAAAATATTTGAACATATTATGGCCAAAAACTTCCTAAAAGTGTAGAAAAACATTAATGTACACATCCAAAAAGCTCAGTGAATTCAGGTAGAATATACTCAAAAGAAATCAACACCTAGGCACATCATAATCAAACTGTTAAAGACAGAGACTCTTGAAATCAATAAGATAGACGACACTCATTATACAGAAATCCTAATAAGATTAACAGCTAATTTAACATAAGAAACCATGCAGACCTGATGGCAATGAGATAACATTTTCCAAATGCTGAAAGAAAAAGATTGTAAATCATGAATTTGATACCCAGCAAAACTATCCTTCAAACTGAAAGGGAAAAAATGGACATTCTCAGATAAAGAAAAGTGTTCTACTTTAGATGGTAAAATACAAGGTCAACTAGTAGGCTGGTTGTATGTGAGAGAGAGGTGGGGGGTAGCTTCTAGGATACAGAGAATTTGTATTTCTTCTTGGCAGTTAAAAATTTACTGTGTAATTCTTTGAATTATACATTTACTGTTTTATGTACTCTTCCTTATGTGTGTTCAGTATCATAGATTAAAACATACACACATACACAGACGCTTTCTGTCCTCATAAAAACAAAAGTATCACTTTGTATTTCTTACTTTAATTGCCCAAATGGAAATAATTTTAAGGCTAAAGCCAGAAATTTAATTAAATATTTCTTCTATGCCTTATCATGTCTCTCTTCTTTGCACGTCCATTTCCCTTCATTCATCCCTGCCCTTCCTGTAATACTCACTCTCAGGTCTTACCAGATTATAAAGATCTGTCCCTGTGCTTTTCTCTCCTATTATCTCTGAACACTTTTAATGGAGGGAATCATTTAAAAATTGTTTCAGTATTCCCAATAGCACTATCCATAGCACATGTTGTTGTTGTTGTTGTTTGCCGTCGAGTAGGCCCCGACTCATAGCGACCCCTCCTTGGGTTTCCGAGGCAGCATCACTACGGAAGTAGGATTGCCCAACCTTCCTTCCGAGGAGTGGCTGGTGGGTTTGAACCGCCAGCCTTCTGGTTAGCAGTCAAGTGCCTTAGCCACTATGCTACCAGAGCTCCCTCCATAGCACATAGCAAGCACTAAATAAAGGTCTGAGGAATTCATTCATGAATGGAATAAATGAAGAATTTTTAATTAGCACCACAATAAGTCCTGGTAGGGCATACCACAATTGACCAAAGAAATCCCTATAGAAGCAAATATTTATTCTGAAACTATTAGCAGAGAATTTTTTTTTTTTTACATGTAATTAACAGTCAAACTGCAAGAACACTGGTTAGTAAACTCTGATAAAGTGAGGAAGACAAACTGGGTATGGCAAATCATTTCTGGAACGTCATTATATTACTTTATGATTAATATGAAAAGGAAAATATTCTGATAAAAAATTTCGGCACCTCAAATCACATTTAAATTAAAAATTCCTGATCTCTTTCTGAAGTGCTACAGAATGATGTTGAGATTACACTAAGAAATCCTTCAAACTATGACAAACAGAGCAAGTTTCTTGAATTCAAGTGACACTCCGCCCTAGGTTTCATTTCAACCCCTCCCTCTGGGTGAACTCTCTTTCCGAGAATTCAGTATATTTATTTATTTTTGTTATTCATTGTTTTTGTTTCCATAATGAGCAAAAGAGAAACCCATCATTAAAGGGAAAAAAGGATGGGGTACTTAGGTAACAGAGGAGGGTATATGATTCAGCAGTTTGAAAGTCCCTGCCAAGGAAGTTTCCAACAAACCTGAAAGAGGAAGGCATCGCCCAGGGAATTGCTGAGGCAGAAGACAAAGTCCTTCTTGGGGTGCTCAGGGACAGCCTGCACAATGCTGTTCTCCACCCAAACAGCGTGTTTGGGGATGCTGTTGTGGTCTATTCCAGACCTGCCATCGCTTTCGTAGAAGAACAGTGTGCAGCCTGAGGAAACACAACAGGGTCTGCATGAGTATTGGGTGTCTGTAGAACAAAAACCATGAAATGAAAACTGTAACTTGTGTCTTGTCAACAAGAAGAGATTGGAAACTCAAGTGTGTGAAACCCAAGAGGTAAAGAGAATGGAATCACAAACTCAACCATTAGATAGGCTTAGAGAAAGGCCTGTTGCTGTTGTCAGCTGCCATCAAGTTGGCCCCAAGTCATGGTGACACTATGCACAACAAGATCAGACTGTTGTGATCCATAGGGTTTTCAGTGGCTAACCTGTATGGATGTAGACTGCCAGGCCTTTCTTCCTAGTCTTAGACTGGAAGTTCCAGGGAAACCTGCTCAGCATCATAGCAACATACAAGCCTTCACTGACAGAAATGTGGTGGTTGCCCTTGAGGTGCTTTGGATAGAAATTAAACCTGAATCTCCAGCAAGAAAGAACCACAAATGACCTAGAGAAAGGCAAAGATTCTTAAATCACAGCTTTTGAACTCATGTAGAATTGAACTCACAGAGAACTTGTTCATATATGCACGAGTTTTTTTTTAAGATCCTTAATTCTGTTTCATGGCAAACATGCAGGGTCACCATGAGTCAGAATTTACCTGATGGCAACATGTGTTTTATATTTAACTTCTGTTTTGGAATGTTTCACTACAGGTCTCCTCACAGGCACCTAGGGATGTTGCAGCTCCTTTGTCTAGTGATGAATGCAAATATGTAATAATGTACCATAACTATGTACCGTAACTGTCACTAGCCTTATGTAGAATCAGAACTCAGTACCATTCCATTAGAGTTCATTCTCAATGTGTCTCACAGCAAATATAACCAGGAAACTCTAAAAACTTTATTGAATTTCTAGAAGATGTCTTTGGAGAAATCAGTATAATAGTGACTTCATGTGTTTTAAGGATCGATCACTCACTCACTCACTCACTCACTCACTCACTCACTGCTGTCAAGTTGGTCCCAACTCATAGTGACCCCTCCTTGGGTTTCTGAGGTGGTATATCTCTACAGAAGTAGATGGCCCAACCTTCCTTCTGAGGATGGCTGATGGGTTTGAACCACCAGCCTTCTGGTTAGCAGTCAAATGCCTTAGGCACTACACCACCAGAGCTCCTGTTTTAAGGATAAGGAAAGAAATTCTAGAGTTTTTGTCTCAAGCCAATAGGAAAAAGCATACTGAAAGAGGAAATGCATGGCACACATAAAAGTGAATGAAGGAAGCCAGAGTTCTGGTCCATACTTGTACTGTGAAACTAATAAGACAATAAAGCAATAGAAATTACACACAGATTTTTAACACAGTGGCCTCAATATGCATCATTCTGTCACTGCCTAAACTTGAGGCTCAGCTAACACTAAGGGCAATTCCTAGCTGAAGGCTTTCTCTCAACTAACTAAAATCAATTTCAGGGGAAGTCTGAGTCTGGCTTCCCATCCCCCGCCTTCAACATAAGTATTACTTGGTCAGTTTTCAGCATCTTCCCATATGCATGGCCCACACTTTGTGAGAACTGCACAGTATAGTCTATTCAGCTACAACATGACTGTCTGTGAAATAAATTTGCTCATATGTGATTAGCAATGTAAATGATCTGTATCAATGGAAAAGCCATATTGCTTAAAGGCAAATGTTCCCATAACATAAAATATTTCACATTACCATGTAACAGCTGCTGAATGCAAAGAACCCAAATACACCTGAACACAGCAGATGGGTATGCAACAGCCATTCATTTTTCATTTTTCATTTTTCCCCTGACGTAGTATGACCACAAACTCTGCTTAAAAGTCCTTATTATGGGGTGCTCTTGAGCTACGGATTTTGTCATTTTTATCCTTGTCTCCATAACTCAGGAGCCTTAATCTCCCTTTTTTCCATATCCATATAAAAACTACAAAACTCCGTATTTGCCTTTTTCTTTTTTACAGTTACCATCATGTTTTCTGTGGTATATGTTTACTGTTATACATTAAGATGCCTTTTTCACTGTGAAAATATTTTAGTAATGTTATTATTATTTCAGTTATCCGTTAAAAAGTTGCACACATATTTTTAATTGCATGAATTGTACATACTCTTCCCTAAACTATTTTCCTAATAATCTCTTTTATTTTGAAGAGAGCAAGGTTTTTCAGGGACATATACATCATATGATAGTAGATCACCTATACCTCTCATTTCCATGCCTTAAGCTTCGGAGCTCTAGGGGCATAGTGCCTAAGAAGACATTTGACTGCTAACCAGAAAGCTGTTAGTTCAAACCCACCAACCATTCCTCGGAAGGAAAATTAGGCAATCTACTTCTGTAAAGATATTGCCTGGGAAACCCAAAGAGGGCTGCTATGAGTTGAATCAACTCGACTCAATGGCAGTGAATTTGGGGTTGTTTTTTTTTTTTTTTTTTTTTTTGAAGCTCACACAGAAAAGAAGAAGAAATCAAAGGCAGAGATTATTTTCATCTAAATTAGTGGCTCTCAAGTGTGAAATAATTTTGCCTACTAGGGGACATTTGGCACTCTCTGGACATTTTTGATTGTCACAACCTCATGGAGGAGGAGTAGTATTGGCATCTAGTGCATAGAAGCCACATCCTACAATGACCAGGACAATCCCCCCAACAAAGAATTACCTGGGAAACGTCAATTGTGTTGCTGTTGAGAAACCCTGCTCTAAATAATCACTGGGACTAAAACTACACTGGTGATTAGTAGATTCTTAACATAAATGGAGTAATGCTACTGCATCATGAGTTGAAGACAAAGAAAGACGTGTGTGAATATTGAATTAGGGGACACCACAAATGCAAGTATGTGCACATATTGAACATTTTTATGGTCTTCCCAAATTGTGGGTTTTAAATTTTTCAACTTTGGTTTATAATCATCCTCAGGAGCTTTAGAAATTGTTTCCATAGTAACAGGTTGTTTAATTCAGCTTTTACTCAATCATCAACTTGTTCCAATTTTAATACTAACATGAATTACCAGCAGAGCCAAAAGCCCTATGCCTTTACCTTCACCTGAACTTAATCTGAATACCCTTCGATTGTCCGTGGAGACACTCCAGAGATTATTTCTAAATGAAATACTTTTAAAATACAAATGAACTCTACCAACAGATCAATTGGATAAATAAAATGTGTTACATGTCTATAATGTAATATTATACAGCCATAATGAGAAATGAAGCTCTGTTGCATGCAATGACATGGATGAACCTCAAAAACATTATGCTGAGCAAAATAAATAGGACACAAAAAGACAAATATTGCATGATCTCACTCAGATTAAATGAGCAAATATATAAAAACCAAAGATAATGAATGATTATCAGAGGTGGAAGGGAGGGGAAAATGGGGAGTTTCTGTTTGGGAAGCACTGGCTTTATATTAATAGTGGTTAAATATTTTAGAAAAAGATAGCAGTAATGATGGCACAACGTGAAAAATGTCATCAATGTCATAGTGTTGTAAATGTGAAAGTCATTGTGTTGGCATATGTTTGGGTGTGTGTATTTTCACCATGGTAAAAAAAAAAAAAAAAACAGAAAAAGAATTATTCTAATTTGAAAGATTATTTGTAAAATCTCCATCCCACAGTTCTCAGGTGCTCTGCTTTTTACTTTCCAATATCCAAGAGTTGCTAAGAAAATGTTAGCAGCAAGTCCTGCTTTTGAGTGACAGGGACAAAGTTCCAAGTATGTCAGTATATAATGGGAACCCATCAGGCTTAAGCAGCAAAGGACTGACTCAGTGGCTCCATGTTCTGGGTCTGGATTCTGACAAATGGTGTCACTCAGATCTGGGTAACTATGTAAGTGAAGGCTCCCTTCCTTTAACATGCTCCTGAGCTGTGCTCTCAAACACCTGCATGCTGGCTTCCTGTGTCACTTATTCTCTAAGGCAATGAAAGAACAACACAATCCCCTCTACTAGGTCCTAAGGAAAAAAGTCACCTCATTATTTTGATTCTAAACCTTTAACACAGCTGTCCTCAAATTTAGTGAGGCTAAAAAAACACCTGGGAAGATTGTTTAAACTGCAAATTCAGCAACCCCCAGCCAAACCTTCTGATTCCTTAGGTATGGAGTAAACCCAGGAATCTACATCTTTACCAAGTACATAAGGTGAATGTGATGCAAGTGGGCTTCTGGTTAGGCTTTTAAAAACTCAGCACAATACAGCACAATAATTTGGAAAAAGACAGTCATAACGGTTGCCCAACATGATAAACTTAATCAAAGTCACTGAATTATACATATAAAAACTGCTAAACTGGCAAATGTTTTGGTATACATATTTTTACCACAATGGAAAAAAAAAAATAAAACAGTATAGAATAAAATATTTCTTTCCTCAGATAAGAAGGAAGCAAGGAAGACAGGCAGGCAGGCCGGCAGGTGGATAGATTGTTTTTTTTAATCTAATACACGAGTTTAGGACCAAACAAAAACTTGGCACAAATTAATAAAGATAAAACATACTGCTATAGGGAACAGAGGCTGCAGCATCTATTGGAATGTACATCTGGATGGAAGTGGAATGGGCCTTGTCCCTCCCTCATCTCTTCCTACCCACAAAAGCAGAGTAGTGGGCATGGCCCAGGGTCACTCAGACACAACCTGTAGCACCTCCCAGTTAAGCCAAGGCAGATGACATACAGGAAAGAACACTAGCAGTTCTCCAAAACACTCTCACAGGATGACCTGTGATACTGGGATTCTTATTTCACAAGTAGGACCACTACATCATATAATAGACTTTTCCCAATTCACATAGAAAAGGAAAACATGGTGTGTGCGCAAACTGATAGATGGCTTGTTTTTTTCTTTTTTTCAAAGTTCTTACTCTGTATCCATGTTAATTTCAGTACATACTTTATGTGTAGTGTAAGATGGCACTTGATTTAACATAGAAAATGTAATTTAAAGTTCAGTATCAATATTTTATGGGGTTTTCCACAGAAAATATTATGATTGTGAGAATTCCAACTTGTGTTCGAATTTAAAAACCACTGAGACAGATGTTCAGAATGAGAACAGGATGTGAGAAAGAAACAGGCTCTTCCTAAGATATTCTTGGAAATGGAATAGCAAGATACAAAAACCCAACAAGTCTGAAAACTGGACATGAAGAGAAAGTATTCTTTGCCAAAAACACATCAACATTAGATACACAGGCCCCATGGCACTACTTAGGGAAGCTGCCCTATAAGACCAGTCTCTGTGGACAGCTGATTGCACCCCAACAGGCATTCTGTTTTTCTTCTACAAAAATAGAACACTCGATGCCAAGTGGTGCCCCAGGCTACCAAGGATGAAGGTCCCTGCCTTACTTGCAGCTAGGTCTGACTCATTTCTAGCTGATAGAATGTAAGCAGAAGTGACTCATGAAATTCTCTGGTAGGCCTTCAGTGCAAAGGGATATGTTCTCCATTTCTTCAATTTCCTGCTCCCACTTGCTGGAATGTGGACCTGGTGGTGAGCTATTTTGACTATAAACTAAATCAGTGACCATCAAGTCAAATCTGACTCATGGCAACCCCCTGTGTGTCAGAGTAGACCTATGCTCCATAGAGTTTTCAATGGCTAATTTTTCAGAAGTAAATTGCCAGCCTTTTCTTTGGGTAGTCTCAAATCATCAACTCCTCAGTTAAGAGCCATGTGCTTAACTTTTCACACCACCCAGGGACTCATCTTGACCATACAGAATAAGAAAGACACTGACTTAAGGGAAAATGAGCAACAAGACAGAAGGAACCTGGGCCCTGGACAAGATCACAGCAGAGAGTCACCACACTTACATGGTCTATCTACTTGTGGTGGGTAAGGGGAAAAAAAAGTTCAACCTTGCCTTAGGCACTGTCATTGTGAGTCCCTATGACATCAAGCAAAGTGTATTCTCTGATTAACATGTTCCCTTCCTAATTCACCAGGCACTGAACGTACAGGGCCCTCCCCAAACCCCACTTGACTCATGGGAGTTGGACTGAACCTCAATCACAGGCTTTGTGTTCAACTCACTGAGTAGACCTCTAGGATGCACCATGACTCTAGGGTTAGATGTAACTACTCCACTGCAATCTGTGAAATCCGTATCAAACGGCCTGTTTTATCCTACCTTACCTTTCAGGGACACCCAGTAGTGCTTCCACTTCCTCCGGGTGGCTGATTCCACCTTCTTGTTCTTCTTGTGCACCAGGAAGTTCTTGACAGCCAGGGCACCAGCCTTGCGCACTGTGCCCTGTGCGGCTGTGAGCAGGATGTCTGACTGTCCAGGTGAACTCAGGGTGCCACTGCTCTGCTCGTCACTGTGCGCTGAGCCAGCCTCCTCCAGGCTCTCACTGTTGGTGGTGCTCATCTCCAGCTCACGCCGGAAGTTCTCATACACGCCCTGACGGGCCGCATCCCCAGTAGAGCTGCTGCCACTGTCACTACCCACAAAAGCCCGGCCAGCGGGAGGTGAGTAGCTGGAGTTGGTGGCATTAGAGCGTCTGGAGAGCAGGTCTGTGTCTGTGGTGGCCCCTTCGATCCCACTGTCTGCAAACTCACTGCCCTCGCCTGTGTTAACATCCTTGGGAGCAGAGAGGGAGAAAAAGAAGACATGCATCACGGTTAGAAGTAACCCTGGAGCTCCAGTCGGTCCAGCTAGGGGCTCTGTAGCAGTTACACCCACGGGGCATCACTACTCTCCACCTCTCCTGGACCAATTACTCCTCCTCACAATCCCAACTCACCCACAGAGCTGCTCAGCAAACCCAACGCCATCCCAGCATGGATGCGACCAATTTGAAATGTTCAAGAAACATAAAAGACATAAGGGCCACTTCAGAGACTTTATCATTTGTCTGACTTCAATACTTAACTAATTGGCAAATCGGCTATTGAGGCTCTCCCACTGCCATGCTGAGAGCAGCTGAGCAGCTCAGCGCCCTCACTCTCATCAGCTGCCTCAGCACACCGGGAAATTCTACAGGCTCGTTAGTGAGTTGTTCTGGAGGTAGGGGTTTACAATACATAACAACGTCTTTACAGCTGATACCTTTTGTATTTTTAATAAAGGGCCTGCTTAGAAGTCCATGTTATAATGTGGCAACTAAAAAGTTACCAAGTGCGCACCTCACCCACTCACCCAGCAAGGACCCATGTCCCAGGAGCAGGCAAGAGTCCTCATGCTTTCATCAGCTTCCCCTCTTGAAAACAAGCAGCCTCTCACTCCGCATTGTGCTAAATCAGTTTGTGGGGCCCACAGTTCCACCGTGGGCTCTCCAATTACCTTGCCCTTTCAAAGCCCGGATGCTAGGAGCCTAAAGCAAGCTACCCATTGCCCCTGGGCCAAGTGACAGCTTAGGGCAACTGCCAAGAGACTGGGGGTATCAATTCCCGGTTAAAAAACATTTGAAAGGTCCAAACCACTGCCCCTGCTCTCAAGTTGAGCATTTCCTGGACCGACAGGTCTATTCTTAAATCAGAATCTTAATTGCTTTGAAGTGCTACAGGCATTTCCATAAACAATAATTAAATAATCGTAGTAATCAAGGGAGAATGATGACAGTAGTATTGGACACAGCAGCTCAACAGTCTTATGCAGAAGAAATGAGACTTATTTTTCTCAGAAAAAGAGGGACAGAGATGTGACTGACAAAGAATAGACAGCAAGGTAATATGTGCTTTGGGGGTTTAATTTTTTTTTTTTTTTTTTTTTAGTCTTTAGTTCCCTAAACAGCTAATTATGGTTTGAAAATGTTTAGTAACAGAAAATTCTAATTTACCATAAAAATTATGCATTGACTCCATATCTCTGCTGAACGGCAACGGGGCAGAAGGAATCAAGCCACAAACTAATATTGTCCCACATAAGCCCCAGACAGACTGTGCCCCCATTTCCATGAATTACGTTTGGTCAATTCAAAGTTAGGGCCTTCGAGTACACCTCATGAATAACTAAAACTGTACAAAGCCAGGCATGAAATAAAGCGAGGACTGGGTGTGTTAGTGGCAGCAGGAGGTAGTTGAGCTTGCGTCTCAAGATCAACTCTAGTTTCAAATGGAATTTACATCCTTATGAGTCAAAGGACTTAAGAAAACTCAAAAACTCAGTCAACTCCAACTCATGGGGGCCACCATTTACGTCAGAGTAGAACTGTGCTCCACAGGGTTACACTGGATGATTTTGGGGGAAACAGACTGCCAGGCCTTTCTTCTGGTGCCCCTCTGGGTAGATGTGAACCTCCAATTTTTAAGTTAGCAGCTAAGCACATTAACTGTTCACACTACCTAGAGGCTTGAGAGGATTTAGGGAGACAAAGAAATCACAGATGTAGCTCATCTGAAGACCTCTTGGAATTACCTGCCCCACTGCCATGCTATGTGCTTCCCTGCCCTACTTAGCTACCATAAACGGTCACAAGGGACATGGACCCACTAGGTAAAAGTCCTCCACACAAAGAGGAAAATGTTGTTACCAACCCATATTTCTTCCTGACAGGGGGATTTACCAAATGCTCCCCTCTTAATGTAGGACAAAATCTGAGTAAGAAAAATTGACATTGATTATTTAAGGCAAACTTGAGTAGTAGGGAGGAGTTCTGGTGGCACAGTGAGCAAGGCATACAGCAGCTAAACAAAAGATCAGAGATTCAAACCCACCAGCCACTCCATGGAAGAAAAGAGATGAGGCAGTCTGTTTCCATAAAAATTTACAGCCTTGGAAACCCTATGGGGCATTTCTATTCTGTCCAATATAGGGTCGCCAGGAGTCGGAATCAACTTAACGGCAGTGAGTTTGGTTTGGTTTTGAGTAGCAGGAGATGAGAAGTTTGTGAGTTTTCCAAACTTCAGACTCATTTTCCTGTCTCATGTCCTATTGTGGAAGAAGGTAAAGAAGTGAGGGAATCAGCTCTAATGACTCTCTTCTAAAATGCAAAGAGATAAGACACAGGTAAGCTAAACCAAAACCAAACTCACTGCCTCGAGATCTGACTCATAGCGACCCCTCCTTGGGTTTCTGAGGCAGTATCTCTATGGAAATAGATTGTCCAACCTTCCTTCCCAGGTGGCTGGTGGGTTTAAACTGCCAGCCTTCTGATTAGCAGTCAAAAGCCTTAGGCACTATGCCCCCAGACTTCCTACAAGTAAGCTAGGGAAAGATAAACTCCACAAGCAGCATTCCTAGTTGATAAGACAAAGAATCAAGTTAGACTTACTTACCACTTAAGGAAGGAGTAAAACTCCACTGATTTCCATAGAATCGATTCTGACACATGGCAACCCCATGATTGTCAGAATAGAACTATACTCCATAGGGTTTTCAGTAGCTGAGTTTTTGGAAATAGATCACCAAGCCTTTCTTCTGACACACCTCTGGGTGAACTTGAACCCCCAACCTTTCAATCAGCAGTCGACTGCATTAATCGCCTGTACCACTGAGGGACTCCAAAACAACAGGCATCTTGCAATTCTCAAGGCTCTAGAACAGAAAGGGACCTTGCAAAGCCACCTCTTGGGTTAACAAATGAAGACTCTGGGAGCTCAGAAAATCCAAACTCTGTCTGGTAGTGGATCGAAGATTAGAACCCATGATTCCAAATACCTATTGCACCAGAACATGTTCAACTGCAGGTAGTGCTTGACCAAATTCTGTCTAAATAACTCAACACCATGCCTTCCCTTCAATTTACCAACAATGTTCCCTCTAATTTTCCCAGAAAAGGCTAAGAGATTATTCACTGATTTGCCTTGACTTGTTCATCAAAGAGCTAAAACCTGAAAAGTCGAGGGAAATGGAAGGAGGAGATAAGAGAAGCATGGGGCAAAGAGAAGCAAAAACCCAACAGGCATCAACAGCATGATTTCTTAACCTACTATACTCTCACAACTATTTGTCTCTTTACAGAATGCCCTTATTGTCTCTTATTAAACTAAGAGTTAATGCCTTAGATACTCACCTCTTCATAAGACCTGAACATCTGCTCATGCCAACTGAGGCTGTCACCTTGCAGTGGCCCAGGCTGTGTGTGCTCAACTCTGGAACGGCCACTTAACTTCAGTAAAGAAGCAATTGCTTCAGGTCAGAGACCCAATGACCCAATTGACTCTACATACTTTGGGCACACATAGTCCCGTGTAACCACTCGGGAATGTGCTCCTATCTCTGATCCAAGCAAAGACTCCTCCTGTCCCACAAGTGGTTAATCAGGCTCACATATATGTCCTGCCAGTGGTATGTGGCCCAGCCCATAAAGAAAGAGATGCTAGCTGCTGAGATGCAGCCCTTTTGTAGTAATGTTGTTAGACATGTCCCAAATACCAAGAAGCCCAGGACCCACACAGCCAGCCAGTTCAGGGCTCTAGCATCATGAGAAGTGATGGTGACAACCCACCACAGGAAGTACTCCATACCTCGGGCCTCTCACTGAGGACATCCTCCACATCCTACATACATGCAAGTGATCTCCAACTTTAGTGCAGGAAAGACTCACCTATAGTTGGGTTATGCCATCCTGATTCCCAGAGGTCCTGAGTAGTATAGACAGTTAATGTGCTTGGCTGTTAACGAAAATATTAGAGGTTCCAGTTCTGAAAGATGCCTCAGAAGAAAGGCCTGGTGATCGACTCCTGAAAAGTTAGCCACTGGACACCCTATGGAGCACAGTTGCACTCTGCTACACATGAAGGTGCCATGAACTGGAGTCAAGTTAACAGCAACTGGTGGTGGTAGGTCGAGATTTCCAAGTTCACCCCAGAAATACTTAGATAGGAGTGGGGGGTCTCCATTATTGACCACTGCCAGATGATTCTGATGCAGAAGCTTGGGACTCTTTGAAAGACACCAGCCCCTCCCAAGTCTGCACCCTAAATGCCCATCATTTTCAGATGCTATCCTAACTTAGTTACACCATCCTAACTTAGTTTCTAACAGCTCAGAAGATAAGCAGCAAAACTTGTTTCTTTCCTTCATTATGATGCAAGCTTTCCTGGTTGCCATCTTTCTGAAGGGCTCCTCCTACTTCGGTCTCAAAGACACTTCACACCGGAGAACCCTGGTTCTCCCCATACCCCGGAGCACCTGCTGAACCCCCACCTCTCTTTCCTGCAGCACTGGAATCCGGAAGACTAACACCAAGCAACACTCCCACAGGATCCTCAGCTGCCTTTGCCGTGAACATCTGCAAGGTATATTCCTTCTTATCTAGTTAAATATCTTACATTCTACTCTGTCCTGAGAGCTCTGGGGGATGTAGTGCTTAAGGCATCTGACTGCTAACCAGAAGGCTGGTGGTTCAAACCCACCAGCCACTATTTGGAAGGAAGATTGGGCAATCTACTTCTGCAGAGATACTGCCTCGGAAACCCAAGGAGGGGTCACTATGAATAAGAACTAAGTTTTAATCTGTCCTAGAATAGTTAACCAAAATAATGCATCTTAATCAGAAAGTCAGAGGAGATCATGAGAAATGGTGAGGCCTGAGCTAGACAGAGAAATAACTCCCAATATGGTTCACAGCCCACACAGATTTCTTGAAAATATCTCAAAATAAAAGATCTCATGCAGAAACACTCTACTTCAGAGCT